TGTGATGTTAAAACATGTTTGTGCAACAAAAGAGTGCCCCGTACAAGGTATAACATAATACAAATTGAATAACGTTGAATTCATTAAACGTGAGCGAAACTTTTATACTAGAATATGTGATATCATGCTTCAAATGAGTGGATTTCATTAGATCATTGTTCGACTCTTGATAACAAGATTAGTTCACCCTTGTACATATATGTGTGTGTGTGTGTGTGTGATGGTATAAAATAACAAAGGTCCTTCAAGTTAATGAACGAAAGAAAGTGATGAATGATGATATTCTAGTGTGGTTGAGTCCATACTAACTAAGTGCATGGATTCTAACAAACAACTAATTAAAACATGAAATTTAATATGGACATTTAATTAAATGTTTATTAATATTTGCGGTGCGGTTCGGTTTCGGTGCGGTTTTCAAAAGTCAAAACCGAAACCAAATTGTTTTCTATGTTGCGGTTCGGTTTCAAAACCGAAACCGTTCCAAAACCGCAAAACCAAACCGTTCGGTGTGGTTCGATTTGGTTCGTGTTTCGGTTTTGGTTTTCGATTTTAAGTGCCCACCCCTATAAATTATTATGTCAATCTTTTAGTAATGTTGAATAAATGAATATTATCACATTATATTGTCAATAAAAATATGCAAATCATAACCGCTCGATTAAAACGTGAAAACAATATGCAAAACAGAGTTGAATCATATTTTACTTAATCAATTGTATGCATATTATCTGACAACAATTTCCAGTCCAGTAAACCTCCACCCAGTGGAGTGAGTTACAGGGAGCTACGTCGTCGTTTCAGTTGCGGAAGCAGCCGCAGACTCCTAGGTAATCCCAACACGTGCCCAAACTCATCGCCTTTCCAGACTACTTCTTTGCTCTTTCCTCCCCTGACTCTCTCAGTGAACTCGACATCGTTGAAATTACGTAAAAGCCCTTTTCCGTTAGAAAAAAAAATTTGACCACGCAATTAATTAAGTTGAATATTAAGCTGAGCAGGCACCACCGGACCCGTGAAACTTTCCGACAAAGCGACAAAAGGAAAGGTCGTATGCCACCTAATTTGACTCTCTCTGGATTTCAAAGGCCAATATGAACTTGCACAAATATGGGCCGTTGATATATGAATGATCTATGATTATGATCCAAGTAAATTGTTGAAGGTGGTGCCTTTCATTTTCAGTCCGTGATATGTAAAAAATCATATTTTTAAATCACATATTGTAACAATAAAGTAAGATTCCATAATTTAAAGAATTTAAAAAAAAAAATCATTACTCAGTACTACAGTCTAGTGGTATTCTTCTTCACTTATAAGTGAGAGATCTTATGTTTGAATCTCGTAAATGGTGTATATGATGCTAAATTAAGTTGCTCATTATGCGGTTTAGCCGAACTCCCTCTCTTCTTAGTGTTAAATATATATGTTAAATATATCGTTGTGCTAAAAAACTTTTAAAAAATTTAGAATTCATGAATGCTTCAATATTAATCTTCTCACTAACATAATTATATATAAGTGTATAACTCTAATCCCAATAAATTAAAAAAAAAAATAAACCGTTAAGAAAAGGAATCCTTAGCTGTACACGAAATTCACACATTTTAACAAAATAATCATCTCACTAGCATTACCCTAAATATAGATATTTAAATAGAAAAAAGGCGATTACTTTGATTTCAGTGAGAAGGATCAATTATAAATTTTAGGGCTTTAAGCCTGGATTCATGTGTCAGCACCAATAATATTTCTTGGCATTGTACGATTAATTGTTAGTGGAAGTGCTTTAAGCCGTATACATCGATGTATATTTGTTCTCACATCATGCTTGTGGCCCTCTAAGTCACGATCGGTTACTTTCTTTTGAATCCTACATGCTCAATTTGCCCGTTTTGATATTTTTTTTTTAATCGGTAGCGCCATCCGCAATCGTACATTAGACCATGGAAGCTTCATATTAGTGCTTCATATATCGATTTCTATTATTAGAGTAAACTATTCCTCAGTTGTGAAACATAAAATATTCGAATTCATGGGAATACATTATGTGTACAACATATGTTATTTATCAAGTATGATAACTCTGTTTTTGATGAAATACGCAGATCATTAGTCAATTCAGACCATATTCTACGAAGGCACTAGAAGTCCACAATCAACTGCCCCTCGAGCCTTATCATCGCATATGGTACAAGTCAATCGCTACACGACTTCCGTAGACTATCCTGATATGTAAATACCTTGCCTATCAGTCAGAGCCGGCCCTGAGGGTGTGCAAGTGGTGCCACTGTACAGGGCCCACAATTCGAAAGGGCCCCTGATTACTATTTTATTTTACCTGTAGATATAGTATAAGTTTTTAAATTTGCAATGATATTCCAAAGTCTTCTCATATCCCAATTGTCTTCCGCTTCTTATCCATAATCCATGTCCATGAAACTGGGTTCGACTTTACATGGTGCCTTTTTTTTGTGTTTTATTTTAATTTTTTGGGTATTTAATAGCATAGTGTTTATTTAATGTTTTTTTTAAATTTCTTTTGTGTTTTATTTTAATTGTTTTGGTATTTAAAAGAATGAGTTCTGTTTTAATTTTGTTTAATTTAAAGCATGGTGTTTCAAACCCAAAAACATAGGGGATGTAAATAGGTACCTAACCGCCACACTAAGATTTTTTTTTTCCTTACATCATCTCAATTATATGTGATCATAATTAAATGTAAAAGAAAACATAGCAACAAAATGTTAGACCCTCTAAGGGCTTTTCATTGGGTATGTTAATAAAGAGTTTCGAACCCAAAAACACAGCACCGAATTTTTTTCTTTTACACAGCAAATATATATCTAACCATAGCACAAAATTTTTTCTTTAACTCAATCTATAAATAATCATAAAAATTAAAATGTAAAAGAAAACATATCAACCAAAATTCTATACTTATTAAGGGCCTCTTTGGAGTCTCGCACAAGGCCCCCAAAATCTCAGGGCCGGCCTTGCTATCAGTATCTTAGCATGACAAAATTCTCTGGAGCATATTCCAGGAATCTCAAATGAATATTTTTTTTAGGGTAAAAGACTGTTTACTACCCTCATGTTTGGTGGTTTTCAACATTTAGTACATCAAGTTTTTTTCGTCCTAGAATCATACCTAAAGTGTAAATTTTAGGAGTCTCATACATCCGTTAGTCAAACTGTTAAGTCTCCCGTTAACTGTGACGTGGCGCCCATGTGGACAATGACTGGGTGTCACGTGTCACCCACGTGGAAATTAAAAAGAAATTATTTATAAAATAAATAAATAAATAAAATTATAAATAAATAAATATATATATATATATATTAATAAAAAATAATTAGAAAAAAAAACCTTCATCTTCCCCAGATTCGGAGGAAGAAGAAGAAGGAGAAGGAAGAAGAAGGAAGAAGGAGAAGAAGTGAAGAAGAAGAAGAAGAAGAAGAAGAAAATAAATAAATACATTATAAATATGTATATATATTAATAAAAAAATAAATAAAAATAAAAAAATAAGAAAACCTTCATCTTCCCCAGATTCGGAGGAAGAAGAAGAACAAGAAGGAGGAGGAGGAAGAAGAAGAAGTAACACTCTGCTAATACGTTCAATGAACCTGGACACTAGGGTAACTTCTACATTCTCTAAATAGTAAAGGTCAATCGCTTTATTCTAGTAATCAATAACTCTTACCGTACTCTTATTACTTTTTACAGTCTTTTTGCCTTAGGCATTGAAGGCCCTTTGGCTAAAACCACACTAGTACCGTGTTAATCTTAACTCTGATTCAGAGGAAGAAGAAAAAGGAAGAAGGAGGAAGAAAAAGAAGAAGTAACACTCTGCTAATACGCTCAATGAACTTGAACACTAGGGTAACTTCTACATTCTCTAAATAGTAAAGGTCAATCGCTTTATTCTAGTAATCAATAACTCTTACCGTACTCTTATTACTTTTTACAGTCTTTTTGCCTTAGGCATTGAAGGCCCTTTGGCTAAAACCACACTAGTACCGTGTTAATCTTAACTCCGTTTGTCTCTTTTCTTTGTATTTATAGGTTTTCGTGAAATCAATCTGAGGCCAAAATTTGCTCCCACATTGGTGTGTTGTGCACAATAGCCAGATGTACCCCTACATCACTTAAGATGTGTTGTCTATTGACTCATCATGTGTGTGACGAGTTGTGCTAAGAGTATCGCACATTTGCAAACGTAAACCTTGAATTTGTTTCGAAGGTATTGGATATGTCTATTCATTGACAATTGGTTTTGAATTGATTCTATCAGTTTTTAAACAATGATAAATCTGTTAAGATTTACAACACCCAATTCATCGTTTTACAGTTTTCTTTTAGTTTTCATTGTCAACATTGTAAGCACGTACATTAATGTTTATGATTGCATGTCTTGGTTTTGAGCTAGTTACCATAAAAAGTATATTTTCTTTTTAACAAATGGGATGTGAGGAAAAATTAAAACACAAGATGCTCTTAATTACTTAAATTACAGCTCAATCATGCTGATGTGAGTATGACTCGGAGACTTATCTAAAACTACTAAACATATAATGGTCATGACTCATTCTACATATAACAAAACACGGACGGAAAATGTTATGCAATTCAATTGAAAATTAATCTTTTATATATGTATCTGGTCTACTTTTTCCTACTTAGTATTTATTTTGATGATAAATTTACCTACTTAATATTGTCAATAAATTATAATACAAATAAAAATAAGAAGGAAGGGGATGAAATATGTGGGGGCGGGTAGGTAAGAGGTTGACTAGAGTCTACAACGGGAAGTGAAAAACAAATTTCAAAAAACCAAAAAATACAAGGGTATTATGGGAAAACAAAATAAAGAAGCCAGGGTGTAGTCTCCCCGAGAAATATGCTATAAAACCTAACGCCCAACGCGGCAGCAATTGTCCTTCAGAGTCTCTGGGTTGCTGCTGCTGCAATAGCTTCCTCCAACCCACGAGCCATGGGCCCCGGGGTCCCAGCAACCTCACCACCCACCTCCCGCGACGCCGCCACAACCACGCCCACCACCCTCCTCGGCAAATACCAACTGGGCCGGCTTTTGGGTCGAGGCAGCTTCGCTAAGGTCTACAAAGCCCAATCCCTCATCGACAACACCGCCGTCGCCATCAAAATCATCGACAAGTCCCAAGCCGACGCCGCAATGGAGCCCCGCATCCTTCGAGAAATCTCCGCCATGCGCCGCCTCCAGCAACACCCCAATGTCCTCAAAATCCACGAAGTCCTCGCCACCAAGTCCAAAATCTACCTCGTCGTGGAGCTCGCCACGGGCGGTGAGTTGTTCGCCAAAATCTCGCGTCATGGTAAATTTCCGGAGTCCCTTGCCCGCCGATACTTCCAGCAGCTCGTCTCTGCGTTGCACTTCTGCCACCAAAACGGCGTCGCCCACCGCGACGTGAAGCCCCAGAACCTTCTGCTGGACAAGAACGGCAACTTAAAAGTCTCGGATTTTGGACTCTCCGCTTTACCCGATCAGCTCAAAAACGGGCTGCTCCACACCGCCTGTGGGACCCCCGCGTACACGGCGCCCGAGGTGGTTTACCGGCGCGGCTACGACGGCTCCAAAGCCGACGCGTGGTCGTGCGGCGTCATCCTCTTCGTCCTGCTCGCCGGTCGCCTGCCTTTCGACGACAGCAATTTGATCGCTATGTATAAGAAAGTCCAGAGACGGGAGTACGAGATTCCGGCTTGGATTTCGAAACCGGCGGGTCGGATCATATACCAGCTGCTCGACCCGAACCCAAACACGAGGTTGGGGATCGAGGCGTTGATGGAGAAGCCGTGGTTTAAAAGATCTATTGATATAGGCCTTTTCGAGGAACCGGCAGCGGAGGTAAAGAAATACGACGTCGTTCCCTGCGGGATGAATGCGTTCGATATAATATCGATGTCGTCAGGGTTGGATCTGTCCGGGCTTTTCGAGGCGGGGACACGGAGGGAGAGGCGGTTCACGGCAGAATCGGCGGCGGAGACAGTGGTGGAGAAGGTGCGGGAGGTTGGGGATAAGCTGGGGTACAGGGTGGAGAGAGGGAAGAACGGTGTAAGTGTGGGAGTGGGGAGGGGAGCGATGATGAGGGTGGTAATGGCGGTTGAGGTAATGGAGATTGCACCGAGTTTGGTGGTTGGGGAAGTGAAGATGGTGGAGGGCGGAGGGGTTGAGTCTGAGCGGGAGGTTGGGCTTTGGGAAGAGTTGAGGGCTGGGCTGGAAAACCTTGTCGTTTCGTGGCATAGCGCTGCCGTTTGATGTTGGCGGTGTACATTATTTGGATATTAGCTGGGTGTGTTGTGTGGAAATTAAACACTGGGTTGGTTTAACACACGAGGCGAACTATCAGTGTCATATAAGCCCTTGTGCGAAACAGAAACATTAGTAATTGTTTAATTAAGGCGTGGTTAGTGATATATTAGTTTTATTTTTTTTGTCGAAAGATAAAAAAATTTATTAGTTGGGTTTGATTATTCGTTTCATTGATAGGATGTTGGGTTATGAGTTTAGATCGTGTACATTAGTTGAGATAGTGTAGTATGTACCGGTGCTTATGCATGATCAATGAAAAACTAGTTTCATCATTTCATCATTCACCTCCGTCTTATAATTTCAAGGAAGCTGTACTAGTTGTCATATTTTGTCGCATCATTTGTCACAACATTGTGATACGACTAGAATTGAATTAATATTCATTTGTTAATCGCATCCTTAATCGTGGATTTAATTGGGCTAATAAATAGGATGAAAGAACCGGTAGGCCCTTTTGTTTGGAGTTACATTGGTGCCTTGTGCAACATGAAAAATCAAATCTTTTATAGATGACATGGGAATCCGAACAAGAGTCTCAACATATACAGTTAAACACAACGATTGTTGTATTATTGCTGTTTTTTAGACATGCACGAGGATGATTCAATCAGTCACGATTCACTATGTAAGAAACTTACGTACATTATGAATTAATAATACAATTTTAAAAAGTTGAATGCATACATAATACGCAACGCCACAGTATTATTTGGAGGAGGAATATATACGTATGTAAGTCCTTAAGGTCGAGAAAATCAAGTGCTAATTTGTATATTTATATATTAAAAAAAATTGTGAACGTTCAATACGACAAAAGAAGTGAATTATTATGTTATTCCAAATTGGAATTAGAAATTTAGAAAGAAATTGGCTTGCTAGCTACTTGTTTGTTGTTCGTTGCTTGAACAGAAAAACAGGCGCCGGTTCACGCGCATCATATTATTCAGATGGTCAGAAGACAGAAGATATTTTGGTTGGCAACATAAAACACTTAGCTGGGTATCTGCCAATGGGAGTTTCAGCTTTGAGTTAAAGTTTTTTTTAAAACAAAGGTACAATATTCACCAAACAAATCAAATTTCGTACAAACTGAGGATAGTGTGCATAATGGGTCTCGATAAAAATTTTTTCGGGGATTTCAACTCGGTCGAAGGAAAAGAATGTCCCGCACAACAGTAAACCTATCCTCAAATGAACAATCAAACTTACAATCCTTCATCAAAAAGAATATCTTGAATCAAATCCAGAGGCTCCTCGAACCATACCATATCTTGGGCACTAGTAATCCCTAATTAAGCAAGCCTATGCACCACCGAATTTCCTTCTCGTTGGACATGACTATTCTTCGAAGTCGACCACTCCATAAGAAGGCACCGCAAGTCATTTATAATGGGACTAAGAACAAAGCTGTTATCTCATTGGCCCTTCATGGTTGTCAATACCTAACCCATATCACCTTCAAATTGAACTTGTACTTCGCCCGAGTATAACCTTTTGACCAGCAATACAACTTGTCTAGCTGCCATAAACTTCGCATGTAAGGCAGACGTGGTCTTTTCAATGGGACATGCTGCATCACCGAGAAACTCCCCCAACTGGTTGCGTATCACCACTCCAAACCCACCCCGGTTCTGTCTTTGATTCCATGCTCCGTCAAAATTGCACTTGACCCATCCCTCCTCAGGTTTTCTCCACTTATGTAACTCACATCTTCCCTTATTTGCATCTATCTTATGGCACCTGTGGAATTCCTGTAACCAACATTCAGTTCGAAGCACAATCTCCATAGGGTTTAGAGGCTTACCATCCACAACACTTCATTCCAATGTTGCCATAGTGACCTGATCAACATTAACATAGATCAAATCTCAATGCATGACCCTGTATATGAAGATTGGCTAACCAATTCATAAAATTCACACCATGCCTAGCATCCACACAAGCCCAAGCCTAGAAACCACACCTTTCTCGCTGCCTGACAATCCCGCAAGACATGCTCCACAGATTCCACCTAATATCCACACACTACACATTCGTCCTCGATTGGCACTCTCCGCTTACAAAGATTTGATCTTGTAGGCAACGAATCCAAACATGCGCGCCACACACAAATCTTTACTTTCCTAAGGACACAGCCGACCGCAATTTCTTCCTTAACTTCTCCCCACTGTTACTAGTAGTCGAATGAGAGCCTGTAGTCCCTTCCCCACTAGCTGCAATTATCCCTCGAGCAACATGATAAGCACTCTAAACCATAAACTTCCCATGTTGATCATAATGCCAAACTATTCTATCGGCAATGTTACGTAAGCTAAGTGGGATCCCTTGAATTAATTCCACTTCTTCCTGGGAGAAAATCTCATTGAACAATCGCACATTCCACTACTTATCATCGACATGGCATTATGATTGACATGGCTCTCATGGTGGCCTCATCATTCCAATGTACGGGTGGCGGGGTCAAAATCCAAAGACAGGACTTGTCACACTCGGCCCGAGCCCCCACCACATCCATGGCTCGACTCCACCGTAGCATGATATTGTCCGCTTTGGGCCCCGACCACGCCCTCACGGTTTTGTTTTTGGGAACTCACACAAGAACTTCCCAGTGTTCACCCATCATAGGATTGCTCTCGCACAAACTCGCTTAACTTTGAAGTTCTAATGGAACCGGAAGTCAGTGAGCTCCCAAAAGGCCTCGTGCTAGATAGAGATGGGAATATACATATAAGGCTTACAGGATCCACTCCCCTAGGTGAAGTGGGATGTTACAATCCACCCCCCTTAGGGGCCCGACGTCCTCGTCGGCACACTTCCGGCCAGGGATTGGCTCTAATACCAAATTGTCACATCTCAGCTCGGGCCCCCACCACATCCCAAGCTCGACTCAACCGTAGCACAATATTGTCCGCTTTGGGCCCCCACCACGCTCTCACGGTTTTGTTTCTGGGAACTCACACGAGAACTTTCTAGTGGGTCACCCATTATAAGATTGCTCTCGTGCGAACTCGCTTAACTTCGGAGTTTTATGGAACCCGAAGCCAGTGAGCTCCCAAAAGGTCTCATGCTAGGTAGAGATGAGAATATACATATAAAGCTTACATGATGCACTCCCCTGGGCGAAGTGGGATGTTACAGGACTCATTTGACACCCAATATCCTTCCATATGTGAACCATCTTCCCATCACCCACCTTCCACTAAAGTCCTTTTTGGAGCACCGGTCTTGAGGCAGCAATACTGTGACAGACATATGAACTATTAGAAGTTACCCGAGCTTCAAGGAAATCTGTAGTAGGAAAGTATCGAGCCTTGAACACACGATACACAAGGCCCTCGGTATCATGCAGAAGCCGCCATGCCTGCTTGGCTAACAAAGCCAAGTTAAACGCATAAAGATCTCTAAATCCAAGACCACCTTCTTGTTTAGACTTACACAACACCCTCTAATTGAGCCAATGTATTTATCAAAACTTTTTCCACACCCTATCTTTCACATACTCGAAGGTTTCTTCCTTTGACTTGCGAAATACCGGCAAACCCAAGTATTTATCATGAAATTCCACTCGCCTTATCCCAAGACAGTTAGCCAATAATTGCTTATCATAAACATAGTGATTGGAACTGAACGAAACGTAACTTTTCTCAAAATTAACCACTTGTCCAGAGGCCAACTCATACGTCCGCAACACCTGTTTAATATTATGACACTCACTAATGGTACCTCGAACAAAAAGTAAACTATCATCAGCGAAAAAAATGATGGATACTAGAAGCAGCTTAACAAACTTTGATCCCCTGTAACTCTCATTCAAACTCGATCTTTGTCAATAGGGCTGAGAAGCCCTCTGCACATATAATAAATAAAAAGGGGAATAGAGGATCCCTTGGCGTAGTCCTCTTTCTGGATACACGTAACCCACCGGGGCACCATTCAATTTAAATGAATAAGTCACCGTTGAAACACACAACATGGTCATATGAATCCACCTTTCAGAAAATCCCAATCTCTGCATCATAGCCTCAAGAAATTTCCATTCCACACGATCATAAGCCTTTACTAATGTCCACTTTCAATGTCATAAGACCATTGGACCCTGAGGACCGTTTATGCATATAATGAGCAACTTCTGCAGCTACCAAATAATTATCCAAGATTAAACGTCTCGGAACGAAAGCACTTTGAGTAGGATAAATAACATGCGGGAGAATAAGCTTCAATCTGTTCGTGAGAACCTTTGCCACTATTTTGTACAACACATTGCACAAACTAATAGAGCGAAGTTGTGTCATCATTGTAGCATCTTTGACTTTGGGAATTAATGTAACATGTGTATAATTGATTTTTCGTAGAATATGGCCAGATAGGAGCATGGACTGAACCTCATTACAAACATCCTTACAGACCACTCCCCAGTGCTTCTGGTAGAATCCCGGTGATATATCGTCCGGTCCCAACGTCTTTGTAGGATGCATTTGAAAAACAGCACATTTGATCTCATCCGTGAACAGGCTTATCAGGGAAAGATTCATCTCCTCCGTCACCTTAGGCGTGATATGACACAAGATATCGTCAAAACTCTCTACTCCACTTGAACTAAAAAGTATTGTGAAATAAGACAGCACAACTTCCTTCATCGTCCTACGATCCTCACGCCAACAAGCATTATCATCCATTAACCAGTATAAACAGTTCCGCTTTTGCCTCCTATTAGCCTACTGATGAAAATACTTGGTATTGCAATCCCCAAGTTTAATCCAATTTTCCTTCAATAGTTGTCTCCAAAATTGCTCCTATTGTTTAAGCAATCAGTTCAACTTCCCAATTAGCGTCTTTTTCTGCTCAATAGACTTATCAGTGAATGGTTGTCCCAACAAACTCGTAAGCTTATCCTTTACTTCTCTAATTGATTTTGGTCCCACCCTTACATTACCATGAGCCCAATT